CATGCACTAAATAGCACAAAATTGTCACTACAGTGCTTCCAGGAATACAGGTCATCATCAGTTCCCTTCGCAAAGCCTGACATGTGTTGCCACCAAGAAAAAGCAAGTGTCAGAAAATTGAGAGCTATGACTGGTGATTTCACCGTTTGAGAGCTTAAACGATGAAATCATCGTGAAATAAACAAGAACAGCTCCATATACGGCACAATTTCTGCGATCATTGCTTATGTTTTGAACAGGCACTGTTAAAGTCTGGAGTCTAATGCCAACTCTGAACTTGAGCCAAGGTGACTGGCCTGTGGTCAGCTGCTTGAGCTTGTCTGGGTATTCGTGGACGGATTGTAGTAGCCTTAATATCCGGCTGCTCAGCTCTGTTTCTTTCCTCTTCCCTTTGGTCTCTTAATTTGGTAGCGAGCAGAGTAGAGCCGAATGGCTGTGTGCTGCCCATTGGCTCCCATTCAGCTTCGGGACGTAATGTTAGCGTTGTACACGGCAGGGATTGCGAGGCAGCATTGTTATTGATACTCATTTGTTGATTGTTCGGATGCAGCACACTCCTGTTTAGTGATACCGATTGCCATGTTGCCAAACGTGATGGGTAGTCTTCAGCCACCACTACTTATAATCTATAAAATACTCGGGTTGTAAAAGATGACTATATATTACAGTGCAGTACGAAGATTTTTTAGGAGACCAATTGTTCTGCCTGATTACTGCAAGCACGCTCTCCCCAAACACCAGTGGGAACTGCCATTTGACGGAGCTACAGCCGTACAGTGCATTAAAGTGATAGCTTAATATGCCTCAGCAAAAGCGAAAAGTGATAGCCGGCGGCATCTGGTGTCTTCTCGCGTCGGAGGTGAGAACACAAGTGATGCAAGAAATCATCCTTACGTGAAAATGTCATCATATGACGTCACATATAATAAATGTTTGTGACATATTGGAAGGTGACATAACGTAACGGCATCATATAACATCTTCGCTTGGTTGAAATGGGTAGATCATGAGGGCAGTGCATCACCAGCTGAGGGGCAGAAAGCTAGCTTTGTCTCCGATTCTTGAGGCAACAAGAAAGCCATGTCGTACGCAGAAATACCCCAGAGAGAAGTGGTTATAACAGGGAAAAGAAGAGAAAAGTGAGCCCCGCAACTGTCTGCATCAGGGTGCGACACCTCAACAGTGGCTCACAAGGGATGGGGGTGAGGAGGGATTAAAAGAATAGGTATAAAGGTATAGAGAGAAAGAGAGAGATGTGCTAGGACAGCGAGCAGGGACATATGAGGGATAGGAGAGATAGAAAAGATGGAAACACGGCCACAGGAGTCCGAGGACGGGGCATCACTTGCGAGAGCTCTTTTCGGCGTCAGGAGATGACGTAGGGCAAGTCCAGTAGGTCAGAGCTACGCTGTCGTCGGAGATCGGTGTCAGGAGATGACGTAGGGCCAGCCCAGTCGGCCAGAGCTATGCTGATGTCGGAGATCGCGAGGGCACAACCAGTTGGCACGGGATCCAGCGAGGAAACACTTAGTGCATTGAATCGGAAGAAAACAAAGATAGTTTTTGCCTTTCAGTCGTCTGAGGTGAATCCATAAGGGCGAGTGTCTTTTTTTTTTTATATATACTAAGGATTATATACTAAGGCATGCAAATAATGAGGTTGCAATAGCTTCAAAGAGAAAATAAAACGCAAATGCTATAAACTCGAACCCATATATCGAACCGGTAGCACTAAAGCCCCTATACTTCGCAAAAGTACGGCCATCTGCTTTCCCCCTCTTCATCTCCTCTCCGACGTGTTGCTTTTTTTCTTTCGCTTGCGACAGTGGCGCCCCCTGTAACGTGCCACGAGCTTGCAGTTTGCTTTTGCACAGCCGGGCTAAACTGCACCTGCGTGCTCCCTTCTTATGGCCTTCGCAACGGGTGTAGTACATGCCTCTCGCCACTCCTTTGAGGGGGGCGCTGTGACCCTGCCATCTTCACCCGCCCGTACAGTGCGCGAACACATGAATTCCGGCGTGCTCCTTTACTCACCGCACGTTGAAAAACAAGTCGCCTAATTGTTGAAGGCACAGAAATGGTTCGTTTTGACTTCTTATCACGCTAGGTGCATTGAGCTTAAGTTTATTGAAAAATAAGTAAGTGTAAGAGCCCGAAGTACAGCTCTCCGCCATCAAACATGTAGACATTCTAAGGTCTGAAAGTAAATATTTATTGCTCATAAGCACTGGCAATAGTTGAACACTTTCAAGTGAAAAGCTGTGCCGGACTTCACAAATGCCTTGTCCACAGCCTAAAATAAAATGCTTCCTAGTCAGCTTGTGTGTGTACGTGGAAGGCTTGTCGCTTGCGTCAGTCACTTAGTTTGTGTAGTTGACAAGAAGAATTCTTAGGGAATTTTTCGGCTATGAGATCTGCGGATCGTTGGGAGTGACTGTCGTCAACGCTATCAGGGCAGCTTAAGATGGGAGCGCGTTGCAAGTAGGCTGGACTGCTGTTTGCAAATCTTCTAGCACATTTCTGTATGGCAGGTGTTCAGAGGCCTTATCAAAAAACACCACCATCTTGTCCAAAAGAGCTAAAAACTCACACTAGGGGTAGTGTAGTTCACCCCTCTCTTGTACTCGCAGCAGCTTGTACAGCTGATGCTGCTTGTTGTTGGTCGTCAGCAGCGCAGCACGAGAGTCGCATCCGAGATCTGTAATAAGCTTGGCGATGTAACCACTGAGGTATGCCAAGCCGGAGAAGGTGACAGACGGAGACGGACAAGCCCCATACTCCAACAAAGACCACAGGTCCTTATCAAGTATATTCGATATCATCGCAGCCTCTTCCCCAATTCCCACATTTCATAACGTGATTTCTTTCAGTTTTGGGATGTGCAACTTAACGATGTGATCCAGTGCAGGCGTGACAGCTTTAGCATCCACCATGTCATTCCTGCCCCACATTGACTGCACCCTTCCGAAGATTGCTTCGATGGGGTCACTGTTCAATTTCTTAGTCAGGACGTAACTGACGCCTTGCTCCAGGAGGAATTCTGTTGTTTCCACCGTCGACCTTGTTGTAAAAAGCAAGGCTTAGTACATCTCTGTTGGTGAAGCCAGCACTCGCTGATCGGATGGAACTCTTCTGTATTTTTTCCACATACGAGATAAACTCCTCCTTCAGCCACAGTAGGTGATTGTCATCGCTTTTAAAAATGGGAGCTTTGTGGCTGCTTCTATTGAATGAAGTGTCATGGATGTCAACCTATTTATTCATGGACTTCATGAAGAGAACGGTTGAACTTGCTCCCTCGAAATCTTTGGCAGCACCTGTGGAATTTTGCTGAAGGTGCTCTACGGCTGCAGACACTTGAGGGGCATGAACTTAAACTGCTCGCAGCTTATTCATTTTTTTCAAATCGGAAAGGTAGACATGTTTCTTCATCAAATTTCAGGCCAGCTTCACAGTCTTGTGTTTTTGATGCTCGTATAACTTCTGTAAAAATGCACCACTAATCACTTCTGTGCCATCTGTAAGTTCACGTTCAAGGAACTGGTTTCTAACATTTCTGAGCATGTGGCACGGGTCAAAATTCAGAAAGATAACGCGGCTGGCATCGTGTGGATGACGTAGAACTGTCTTGAGGTTGCCGTTACCCATGTGCTTAAACATCGTCACGTTTGTTGAATAATTGTCCGTGACAATGCGAATGATAATAAAGCCACATGATCCCACAGCAGCAATGACATCCTTCGTCCATGCAAAGAGGTCTCTACCGCTCAGTTGCTTCATGAAGTAGTACGAGCATGGAATCTTGCACCGACTAGTAGTACCATGCAGCACAAAGCAGAGAACTCTGTTCACAAGGGCTTTTTTTCGCTGTATTCGGCATGCTACTCTCTGGCTTGTCCTTGAGGCCAAAGACTGCATCAGCCTTCTTATCATAGACGCACTTTTGTTTTATGCTAGCTTCATCTATTATTAATGGGGCCATATGTTGTTTGCTGCTGAGTAGAGAGGCCTCGTGAACCAGACGGCCCTTCCTAGCATTGCTCATACCCGATGATGTTGGGCTTGGCCCTATATACTTCTGAAGAGTGCACTTTGCTGGCAGTGTCAGAATCCCCAAAGTGCGAGCGTGATCGTAGCCTTTTGGGGACAGAATGTGCCATATCACACACCCCCTAACAACTTCTTCTGGTTACGCTGAATGCTCATCTCCGTAACATTCTATTTGATGCAAAAGAAACACTGTCTTCTTCACTCCTTTTAGTGCATCTGTTGTGATTTTCTTAACACACACGTGGTGCTTACTTTTGCGATAATATGCAGATGCCTTTTCTTCTTATTTCAATAATTGCTGCACCTTCTCACATTTCAAACGATGGTAGAACACTTGCGAGCGTAATCTTCCTGTCATAGTCGGGTATCGACCCACGCGATGAGCATTGCTGTACAAACACCTACTGGTTCTTGTTCAGTGAAAGCATCTTGTAAAGTCGCAACATCCAGGTTTGGTTCGTTAGCCTCCGCTTTTCGCTTCCTTAATGTTTGGCGTAGGGGCGAAGCTCCTGAAGCAGGATCTTTGCGGGGCTTCTTTGCCCTTGGTCTCATGTAGGAAGGATGCACACCTAAATTATGCGTCGAGCTGTCAGATAACATTAGTTTTTTTTGAAGAGAGATTATCCCTCTACTCTCGACCTTTTGAGTAATCCCTCTCCTTCTCCTCGTCGAGAACCTTTATTCCCCGGTTTCACATCGACAATTTCCAATATGCTAAAATTTGTCAGAAAGAATGATACTAGTAATAATTATACGATATGTGAGAGCCCTTGCGATTCATTCTCAGCATTACTAGGCACAAGGCTTTGGATTAGTGTAAAGAAGTCACTAACAAAATTTTTGCTATTGGGAGTCTATTATTATCACTAGTATTGACAAGTCCTCATTAACAAATGTTTTTTTCCCTCACTGACCCCAACGCACTGAGAGTACAGCAATGAAACACTCACCCAGTGCAGCAGAGTGCACATGGAAGAGATCATCAGGCTGGCCTGCCTTGCGACCACGCAGTGCAGGATAACTGTTGCACAATGCCAAGAGCTCAGGGTTAGTGGACAGTACACGATGTTGCAGCAGTCGCAGCCGAGTGACCACACGCTGACGGCCACACAACAACATGTCAGCTGCAAGTGGCACAAAAGAATAGCTCCATTAGAAAAAGCTGTCTCAGAAGTTCGTTTCTCTTTGTTAGATACATCATTAATGAGAATAATCATGCCAAGGAAAGTATAGCAGATGTTAGTAACTGTAATATAAATAAAGTGGACAAAAAGATGACTTGCCACTGGCTGAGATTGAACCAGCGACCTTTGAATAACGCGTCCGATGATCTACCACTGAGCTACAATGGCGGTCATCCATCCATCAACTTTAGAGGGTATACATGTGTATTGAACGTGGTAGCATCAGTCAGCACTGCCTGTTGCCATGACGGCGAGTGTGGAACACTCGTTCCTCCTTGTTGGCATCACGTAGCATGTGATCTTACTTCGAGCTTACAACTGAACTGACCAAAATCAGTCTCATCACATAAACAACTACGTTCTTCTCCTTTCAATCAAATAGTGCAAACAAGTTTGGAATACCACAATAATAATAATAATAATAATAAAAAGCTTGCTGCAGTTATCATTTTCCTGTGCATCCCATGAATGAATTCACACCTCTGCAAGAACAGCCACTATAATCAAGCCTCGTTATGAGAATGCTAAATATAATACATTATTTAACCATCACAAGGCCATCAAGACTTCGTTTGAAATTGGCAAAGAAATAATGCACATAAAATCATTTTAAGGTTATCAAGATCTTCTGCTAGAATACCTGGCCAATAAAGTTTCACTTCAAAACAATGTTTTACTGATAAGGTACTTCCCATAAATGTCCACAGACTGATTTCTTTAAGGAAGTCCAGCACTCCTTTACAAAAGAACTTTGCAATTCTAAGATTGGTGTCTAGTCGCCTTCATGGTGCACCTCCTGTTCTAACAGTCTGTGCCTTTTATTTGCGATGATTATGCTGTGAATTTTGCATTTTGTAGTCACTCATCAGGTGCTCTGGCAGGGAGAAAAGAACATTTGTCCCAGCAAATTGAGGGGCGCACCCATAACATAGTGCCCTTAATGCACGGAACAATACTTGGTGTCAGAAGTGGCCGCCAGGTGCAATACCTTCAAGCAGGAGCAGGACCCCGAGAAGAAACGTGGTGGTGCTCAAGCCTCCCGGACCACAGACAGGTGATATGGGCAAGAATTGGCAACGATTTAACCAAAAGTTGGAGCTATACTTCATGGTTTTACGAAGCCGCATGACCAGTCCCTGTGCAAAGAAGCAAAGACAGCAATACTACTGGGCTTAGCAGGCGATGAGGTATTAGAACTTTTTAACAACTTCTCATTCAGTAAAGGTGCAAGCAAGGAAGACTATGAGACCGTCTTTACTAAGTTTGGCACATACTAGGCTGCTCAAACAAACGAAGTCTACGAGCGGTATCTGTTTCGAAGAGAATGCAGACAGCGGGGGAAAGTTTTCAACAGTTCTTTCGAGACGATTGGATGCAGGCCCGATTGTGCAATTTCGTACAGCTGACAGGTTCCATGATATGCGACCAAATTGTTATCGGCATCAGCAACGACGGCCTGTGAGTTAAACTTCTGCAAGAATATGAGCTCAAGCTGGCCAAAGCCGAGGAAATGTGAAAGCAGCAAAGGCAGCTGCTTAGCAATGCGAAGCATGGGCAGATAACAAAAACCATGTGGAACAGGTCGATGTTGCTCTAGCTTATACGAAACATCCCAAACCTTCAATTTCTCGCATTGCGGCAAAGAACACAGGCCCCGGGACTGCTCAGCTTACGACAAAACGTGCAGAATCTGCAAGGCAAGGAATCACTTTGCTATCTGCTACAGAAGAACAGCACATATCGATGAGCTGCAGGGTCACTGCGATGGCGACGACTTTGGAGACTGTAGATGTGTGTATCAGCAGCATACAGAATGTACAAGGTTGGATGGTGACAGCAAGCCTTGGCAGCAAGGAAGTCACATTCAAAGTCGACACGGGATCTCAAACTAACCTCATAGTGCATTGAATCTACAGGAAGTTTCAGCCGATTCTGCCTATCAAACACAGCAAAACCACTCTGCAGTCATACAACGGGACCATAATCTGACATTTAAGTGTCATCAGCCAAGAAGTAGCCAGCATTCGACCTTCTATGTCTCTAAGAAAGGAAGACAGACACTACTCGGGCTCAAAGCAAGTGAAATACTCTAGCTAGTTACTCGTCGAGTCAACGCAGTGGCAGCCAATAGCTTCAAACAAGTAATGCGAGAATTCAGCAAACTATTCAAAAGTACTGTCTGCATCCAACAACTCTACAACGACTCTCTCAACAACTCAACAACGACTCTCTCGTCCAATGTTGTCCCAGTGATTCAAGCCGCCCACCGACTCCCTTTGGCCCTTCACTTCGCAGCGCACCGAAGCTGATGGAGCAAGCTGGCATTGTGACCAAGGCGAACAAGCCAACTGAATAGGTAAGCCCATGGGTCAAGGAAAAAAAAAAGATGGAAAGTTAAGGGTCTGCATGGATCCCAGTGCAATCAATGTGAACATAAAACAGGAGCATTACAAGATGCCAAGACGGGAGGTGCTAAGGCGGGAGGGCATCGAGGCAGAACTAGCTGAGGCAAAGGTGTTCAATTCACTTGACACAAAAGCTGGTTTTCACCAAGTGCCTCTCGACAAGAAAACATTCCGAATTTGCACTTTTGCCACTTCTTTTGGGAGGTATAGGTTCTTTTGGATGCCTTTTGGAATTGCAGCAGCATCAGTATTTCAAAAGACTCTCACCAAAATATTTGACTTCTTGCCTGGTGTTCATGTGTATCTTTTATTTATTTATTTATTTTGAATACCTCAAAGGCCCCAGCTGGGGTATTACATGAGGGATGGGTATTAATTACAGAATAAAAAAAGTGATTTGAGAGCAATCTTGAATTGATATGGGTCAGAGTGGTGCACAGTAGTTGCAGGCAGACGGTTCCAGTCTTGTGCGGTTGTCACAAAAAAGGAGCGAAGATGTGCGGTGCTTTGGGCTGCCGGAGGATACACTGCACGTGAATGGTTTGTGCAGCTTGATGAGCGACGGACTGGCAGGATGGCTGGAACTTCAATGGAGGCATGATAAAATTTGTGAAAAAGACATAGTCGAGATATGTAACATCGTAATTTTACATTAGAAAAGTGAGCACGAGTTCAGCACGGTTTTGAATCGATTCGAGAATGTTGGATAAGTGAGATTAGTGGGGATCCTAGACACAACATGCATACTCTAATTTTGGACGACAAGTGTGACATACGATATTAGTTTAACTGATGGGGGCGCAAGTCTTAAGTGTCTATGTAGAAAACCCAGAGTGTGATTCACGGAGTTGGCTATGTTAGTCACGTGGGCTGACCAGGAAATGTTATTTGAAAATGTGACACCAAGATATTTGTATGATTCAGCGGGTGAGACTGCAGTGCCGGAAATGGTGTACTCTGCTGACTGGTAATGGGGCCTGTGATGAAAAGATACCAATGAAGTTTTCTTTATGTTTAAAGACATAAACCACTTATCACACCACGATACAATTAGATTGAGGTCGTTTTGAAGTGCAGTGGTGTCTGCGCTGTTTGCTATGGGACTGTATACGATGCAGTCGTTTGTAAAGAGGCGAATGCTTGAAGAGATGTTTGATGGAAGGTCATTGATGTATATGAGAAAAAGTAATGGTCCGAGCACTGTACCTTGCGGCACACCAGAGATTACAGAGGAACGGCTAGATGAGACAGAGTTAGCATGCACAAATCGTTGGCGATCGGTAAGGAAACTGCGAATCCAATTAAATACATTTGTATTAATGTTTGGACAAGAAAGCTTTAGTAGTAGCCGTTGATGCGGGACTTTGTCGAATGCTTTTGCAAAGTCTAAGAAGAGGGCGTCAACAGGTACCGTACTTGCTCGATTCTACCGCGCCCTCGATTGTAACGCGCACTCGGTTTTCACGACGAAAAAAAAAAGTAAAACATCGATTGCAACGCGCACCCATTTTTGTCGTTGGCCCGCACGATAACACTACTCGAGAAAACGACTCCTTTCGGGAGCGTCTTCCGTTTAAATACAAGGTACGGGGGAAGCTTGTGCTCATCTGACGTGCATCGGAGAATTGCCGTCACTCTTGTTTTACTGTGGCCCGATGTCAGCATGCGAACTTGCTTCGCCCCCTTCTTCTCGATGGTCGTGGTGCCAGACATGTCGAAGTAAAGAGGCGTCTGATCGGCATTCCCAATTTGCCCAAGCAGGTAGACGTTGTTGTGCCGCAAGTTTGGGACGAACCTCTGAAAACTGTGAAGCTTTTCTTCGTACTCTTCCGGCAAGTTTTGGCGCATGCCCATTCGCTTTCGGAGGGAAAAGCCTTTCCTCTTCATAAAGTTAGTTAGCCAGCAGCTGCTCGCTTTAAACTGGCTCCGCGTTAGCCCTTTTTCTAAAGCTAACTGCATAGCCCGCACTTAGAGCAGTTCTGTCGTCACGGGCCGCTGTGCCGCTCGCTGCTCAAGCACATACTCGGCGAGCAGCTCTTCAATTTGCGGAAACCGACCCTGCTGTGGTCCACTGAAGCCTTTGCATGAATCTTTGACAATCTTCTGCTTTTGTTTCCGCCAGTCCCACACGCACGTTTCGGGGGCAAGGTTTCTTTTGGCGTTGCATAATTCAGTTGCCAGACTTTGAGGTGGTTGTTGCCAAACTGCCGCTAAATTTGGCTGAAAATTTTCTCCTGTAGTTGTGGCTTCTCCGTAAGAGTTTGGTGCCATCCGCGGTGCATTTCGCGAGTGCATTAGCGACGCTGGCCATTTTAATAAACAGAATGAACCGAGCCTAGCAGAAGTCGAGCGTGGCGCTGCCGTGCAATTAGAAGGCCAATTTAATTAACGGAATGAACCGCACATTACAGAATTCGTTTTAATTAACGGAATGAACCGAGCCTAGCAGAAGTCGAGCGTGGCGCTGCCGTGCAATTAGGAGGCCAATTTAACTAACGGAATGAACCGTGCATTACAGAATTTGTTTTAATTAACGGAATGAACCGAGCCTAGCAGAAGTCGAGCGTGGCGGTGCCGTGCAATTAGGAGGCCAATTTAATTAACGAAAGGAACCGCACCTAACAGAAGTCAAATTCGTTTTAATTAACGGAATGAACCATGCATTAGAGAATTCGTTTTATTTACGGAGTAAACCGCGCGTTACAGAAGTCGAGCGCGGTGCTGCCGTGCAATTAGGAGTAAATTGGCCTATTAATTGCGAAGCAGCGCCACGCTCGACTACTGCTAGGCGCGGTTCATTCCGTTAATTAAAATGGCCAGCGTCGCTCGTTTGCGAAATGCACCGGGGATGGCACCAAATTCTCACGGAAAAGCCACAACTACAGAAAAAAAATTTTGCAGTCAAATTTAGCGACAATCTGGCAACACTGATCCTCCCAGTCTGGCAACCTTTTATGCAACGCCAAAAGGAACCTTGCCCGTTTCGGGAACTCCGAACGACCGCGATGCGGCCCGATTTCCGTCTGTTTCGGCACATGCGATGACTTTTTTTTTAAAAGCGGCGTCGTGGTGCCCTCGTCGAGTTTCTAGAGTCGGCCCTTCCATGCCGTCGATGCTAATGAACTACAAGATGACGAACTCCTCAGCACACGTACGAAGTGCCACACATGGGAAACACATAGGCAGAAATGGCCGACGCACCATGCCGAAGCACGTAGGGGGCGGCCATTTTGGAAATGCCGATGGCAATAGAATGACCGTATTCATTTTTTTTCGCACTCGAATTTAACGTGCATGCGATTTATGAACTCGCTTAACCGGAAAAAAGGTGCGCGTTAGATTCGAGTAATTACGGTATATTTATGTCGAGGCTGAAACTGATAACATGATAAAATAAAGCTAGTAGTGTGTCACATGAAAATCCTGAGCGAAAGACGTGCTGACTGGAATGAAAATAGTTATTGCTGACTAAGAACTTGACAATGTTAGAGTAAATCACATGCTCCATTAGTTCAGAGCAAACGCTAGTAAGGGAAATGGGGCGATAACTGCTGCAGAGTTAAAGGACCTGTTTTGGGCACTGGAACGATCTTGCCCACTCTCCAATCTTCCGGCACCACTCCTGATGATAGTGACTGCTGAAAAATATGACATAGTGTACTAGCAATTGATTTCGTGTTTTTGAGCATTTTCGCGTTGCTACCATTGATGCCGCATGAAGATGTGAGTTT